ACGGAGGACAAATAATTTGCGGAATTAGTGTTATTTGAAGCTGTGGCTGATAACACGCCACTGGACCCCAAAGAGCGTGAAGAAGAGCGAAATACTGGGAAAATTTCGACCCACTGAGATTACAGTTCGCTGGCTGTTGCATATAACCTACCTGCCTGTTAAGGTTATTTACATCTTGAGGTATTTTGCGAACATTCTGTTTGTGCCAGTTTCTCTCAGCTACTTGAATTTGACTAGCAAGGGGTTCACAAGTTATGGAGCACACATGTTGCATATTCAATGTTACATGGTTGGTGATAAGTCGATTATCTGCAGGCTTCCCGTGGTGACATCGTTTGGTATAAGGTTTAAAATAACAGTGTTTTGATTTTGCATAGGAGCACCCGTATAAATGCCAGTGGGCTTTTGCTACCAGTGTTCTTTACAACGAGGCTGACCGGCGGTTTGATCTATTAGAGGTACACGTCTGTTTGGAGAGGAGGTTTTCGGTTTCGTACCAGAGCGTCTGTTCACCTGGTTGGTGAAAGACGAGTGAGTAGAAATAGTCGTTTGCACAATGAAACTTCTTTGTATGTTCAGGGCCGAAATACGCAGTAATGCTGGAATAAAGTTAAACTGAGTGGAGTTAGAAGCGATATTTTTACGACAGTTCCTATCTGGTTTCCATGTTAGGGTGAATTCATTTATGGTCAAAGTGTGACCTAGGTAAACATGATGGGGAAGTTCCTGAGTTTTCGTGGGTAGCGGAACAAATTGGTCACAATCTGCTTGTCGGAAATAAGCGTATTTCTACTCCCTTTGTAGAGCGTTTAATCTGATTTCGTTTTCATGGATGTGTAATCAATTCTAAGGGATCATATGCTCCTAATACAAAGGTATTTTTCAGCAAGTGTCCCGTTTGAAAAGTCAAAAACTGTTGGACAGATATGCTTTGAGGACATCTTTCGCAACCTCACGCAAGAAAACCAGTTTTTCAATATGACAATCGTTGGCCACTACAGAGGAGATAGCTACAAGAGCTATTTTTACTAGTAAATTAAATGCTGTTACAATTTTGGAGGGTCTAATGCAATCATAAACCTCGAATGCAACATATTGTATAAAATGTCCAGCGGATCGAAGGTGTTCCCATTTTGTTTTAGCTATGGTGTTAAAAAGTTACTTAAGCGAGTTAAATTGCTCTAGGACCTCGTTCAGAGATTCAAACATTTTCTTCAAGTCCTTCATCTGCAGTTCAAGCGCAGCAATTGTTTAAATCGCTTTAGTGGGCACTTCTGCATTAACTGCGCTATGATCCATCAGAGCAACCTTATGAGATCTATCATTAAATGGCTTTTTTTATTCTTACGCACGATTTCGGCTTTATCTTCATCTTAGATGATCAGGCTCATTTTTTCCGTGTTAATGAACGGGTTCTATGCATGATGATTTGCCAGCGCTTCAGTGGCTTTTTGTCTCTTCGTTGATTTTCTTGTTTTCGAGGTAACGAGCAGTTTTATTGACTAGTCACTCAGTTTCAGGGCTTGTAAGACCTATTTCATTTGAACAGAAATTAGACAATAGTTACAGTGATCGAGATAAATCAAATAGTCATTGGTAGGCAGCCGAGAATACAGACTAGGAGTTTAGAGCTTATACGGCCCATCTAAGATGCACGAAAATCACGCAGATGCAAAAAGGCCACTGATTTAGATGCAGCTAACCATACAAACCAACCGCTGCCACAATGGGAGGAAAACTTAAGACAAATCGGCATGAGTTCGTGACCGGTGTCCAACTTTACAATCACGCATTTTTACCAACCCGGTTACAAAAGGTAACAGGCTGTCCGTGTTGGATATTGTGCATACCAACGAAGGACGCATGACTGTTTTGTTAGCTGTAAACTGTTCTTTGCGCCGCATTGATTAAACAGTCATTAGTTTTATCTTCATCTGCTATGCGGAATATCGAATTGAAAAGCATGAGACCGTGCGCAAAATCATGCCCCACGACCGCTTTAAACAGCTTGTCAGCACCATAACCGGACTAGAATTCGCAAGAAAACCCAATCGACTAATTACAGATGCTTCAGAGAGTAGAGCTTGCGGTGGGATTAATAATTTATTTCGGAAGGAACATAACTCGAAAGTGAATGGTAAGAAGCAGCGCAACATTGCTAGCTCAAATCCTAGTGGCAAAGCCAGAAACTGCAGACAACTATCTGGCCCAACGTAAGTCCTGCAATCAAATGCTCAGGGAAGATAAAACCGTACGTTGACATAACATGACGAAAACATTCATTGGTGACTGTGAATTGTTGTACAAGCAAGTCAGTGGCCTTCATAAGGTGAGGCAAGGAATTCTTCAACTCAGGACTGTTGACGGCTCAACACGAAAGTCTACAAAACAGCAAAAATGCAGCGGGTGCCCCCACATGAAACAAGCTTCCAGGTTTTTGCTCCTCTATGAAACTTAGCTGCATCACGCTTGCCGCTGAAGCCATATTGCAGCTTTTTATGCATCTGCTCAAACAGCCCCCGTGTGTTGATACCAATTTCCCGAAGCATTGGGAAAAGTAGCAAAATTACTAGCAGGAAATTTGGCTCGGTTCATCCAGCGACGCCTAGACCAGAATCGAGTTACTTCCCTACAGAAGCTTGCAATCATAACTCCGCTTCACAAATGTGAAAGCAGAACTGCGCCCCCAAACAACCGCCCAATATCTCTTCTCCCTTTATTGCCCAAGTTCAATGAATCTAGCATTGCCCATACATCGGTTCGCTATATGGAAAACCGCGACATCGTAGCACTCGAGCAGCAAGGTTTCCGTTGACAGCGATTATGCACACCCAATCTGCTGATCTCATAACTAGTTAGACGGAGTCAACTGAAGCTGGAGAGAAGGTTGATGTGGTCTACCTGGAATTTCTTAGACATTTAATCCACCCTGTTGTCGGCTGCTCCTTTCCAAGCTCCAGGGTTACTGAATTCTTGATTCTCTATTAAGCTAAATCATCAAATTTCTCTCTCAACCAAAATTAGTGGTCAGAGTTTGAAGCTCCTTCTCTGACCCCATACAAGTCGCGATTGTTTTTACTTTTTATTATTGACCTCGCGCAGGCAATTACTTCAATTTCCCTATGTTTTGCCTAAGACATCAGGAATTTGCGGGGGATTCAATAGAATACCGACTAGGACATATGTCAAAGTGACCTAGCGATCTTGCGTCAGTGCGTAATCTAAATTGTATTGCAATTCCCCGTGAGTATATATAAGATCCTGTGCTTACGACACATGAGCAACTACTCATTCAGGCTTGAAACGTAAGTACAACAGCGTTCTTACGTTGTACGCGATCTTAGTGTATGGCTCAGGATGACCTGTGTTGTACCAGAAAATTTGTTATTCCCTTGAAAGCAGTAACCAACATGTCAGGCTGTTGCCATAGGTGTTCAGACAAATAAACAGATATAAGTGCGTGTGTTCGCCCCCATGTCGAATAGGATGTTCAAGGCTGGCAACCATGGCTGAAACACGACTTGAACGAGTTGCATCAGCTTCAAAATGGGGCATCCAAATAAATCATTCGTATACGTAATTTCCATGCCAACAGAAGCTAAAAAGCTTGGGTAAATACAGTGAACGGTATCGCAGATTACGACGCCAATTGCTGTTGGCCTACTTGCTTCTAAATGACTCCTATAATGTGTATCATTGTTTGCTGCAACACAGCAGTAATACTAGACTGATAATTCACATCAAGCAACTAGCCAAATAATACAAACGTTTAAAGTGCGAATGAATTTTCTTTGTTACCTGAGTATAGCACCCGTGGAATGATGTCCGCTGAATTGGTCGTCTCTGCGACGACACTAGCAATATGCAAAAGACGGTCAGATGATGCGCTCATTCACTTATACTTTGTCATATGCGCTCTCTCCATTCTACTTCTAGAATTTATCTTTGATTTATTAGCCGTCAATTGTTGGTACAATGGAGCCAAGAGGAGTGATGGACTACAGCGCGACAACAGAAATTTCCTTTTGATAATTAAAGCGTTAACCGTTTTATTACATATGCGCTACCCCACCGGACCACCTAATGGGACTTGTAAGTCAGTGCTTCTTGACACGGATACAATTGGTGACCATTGTTCGTTGAATGGTTTCATTGTATTTACTCAACAGAACTACAGTGCACTTGGCTGAAATACGTTCTTCCTGGAAGCACAGTGACTTCGCCGCATTTCTTGGTAGTTGCGGATAGTGGTTTGGAGTTGTACAAATACTTCGTTGTTGTCGGTCATTCTTTCTGTCCACCTGTTTACTCATCACCTTAGTGCACTGACCATGCTCTTTGTCAATTCGACTTGGAACCTGCCAGAGTATGCATGCAGTATTTTGACCTATCTTCCTTGTGATAACAACCTAACTTCGCAAAAGACCTTTGCCGAAATACAAAGGATTGTTGAATCAGTTTACTTTGCTTGTTTGTACTAATAATTGACTCTCATAATTGTGCTTGATGACGCTTGCCATGAGTTCGAGAATTAACGGCATCTTGCCAAACTCGACGCATTTCTTTAAAATCACTTGAATAGCTCTGATGCAGTTCAAATACTTAAACACATGTCATCCAAATTTGGAGATGTACAAACTCAGACCCAATGCAGGAATAACGAATTTGTTTCCACGTAAGCAGCGCAGAGTATCTATTTATCTCACAGCAACAAACAACATTGTTCAGGCCAAAATATTTCAGTCAGTTGCACTGCATTAGCTCGGATGTTGCTGAGCCTACTCAGTTATGCTGATGGCACTTAGAATAGCCATCGATTAGCCCTAAAGAAGAAATTACTCGGTACATAGTGTATAAATATGCGAAATATTTGAGTGCATAGCAAAAGAAGTGGCATACAAAATGAAGTAATGATGTAGAGACAGACCGAAAAAAGTATTTTGAAACTTCTGCGAAAAAGGTGTGCGGTTACGTAGTATCCTCGATTTACTGGGTCATCATTATCCAAGTTGTAAAGCCCAACAAATCAACAGAAGGCTCCAAATGGAATGAAACCAAAATCCAATAGTTGGCTTGTCTAAAAGAAAAAAGAAACCAGGATAATGAATGCCTTAAGAGGTTATCAAGAAGATACTAGGTAGAAGTAACGGCGTGCACTTAGAATATTACTGATAAGTAAAAAACTAACGTGACCACCGGCATATTTGGTGAAGAAACATGGATCAAAGGCTCAGTCGGAAAATTGCACATCAAAACCAGGAAAACATTTTTGACAGCATGAAAGCTGATAAATAACAAACGCATTGTCAACTGAAGCCGAGTTGGGCAGACAAATTACAGAAAAACTTTTAAATGCTTCGCAAGTTTGAAAAACCATGGATTAATCAAAGTATTGCTGAAACATAAATACAACTCGTCACTGCAGAACAGAGGCTAGCCTAATATCAGCAGTCGTCAAAAATTATTAAATATATATATAATAACACATTTCCGGGACCAACAAACCTCATCATTTGAGACACATCATATGTGGCTGGATAAACTTACCAGAACTATCAGTGACTGTTGAGGACACATCAGTAGTTAGTGCGGAGTCTTTATCCTCGGTTTCCATCTTGCCCGGGGTGGACACTGTGTTTAAAAATAAGGGATGAATAGAAAGACTTGCTTAGTGAAATATGCTTGCATTTGGGAGCGCCACGCACTTTAAATTAGTATATGTGCATACTGTCATTGGCGCCCATCTCTTTTTCTCATCAAGGTAACAAGTATCACTGTAACTGAACCTCGATCGCTGCGACAACACAGATAAATATCTGCAAATATCGTTCCATCTGTCTACTATTTACTTTGAATTACATTGACGTACACATGATTCTTCATGTCCTGTAATCTACTTTACCCTCTGCCAGAATATGTACAATTATTCAAAAGAAGATTTGGACGCAGATGTCGCTCTCATCTGTACACATAGCCGGCGTTCGTCCGCCCAATCACAACCACCTCTAATTTATCGTAGGTTAGTCGGCAAACTAGCAAATCACCGTGGTTTGGAACAAGCAGTTATTTACCTTGTCTGACTGACAGTGGATCGCGACAGCCAAGCACATTCGTTCGCAATTTAGATTTTCTATCGGGCTCGTATACATCCTTACATGTACCGTGTAATTGGTTCTTTTACCTTGGCGACGTCTTGCGTTCTTTCTCTGAGCACAAGGCAGCTAACTACGAGTTGTCATTTTATATGGTCATCGACAATGGCGAGACCTATTATTCTTTACTGTTTTGTATGTATCGTCACTTCATACGTTACCAACAGAATCATATTACAGATATAGTCCTGCAACCAAGGAGATAATGGAGATTTCCTGCTTCAAAGTCAACCGCAGCCACAGTTGAGATTGCGCGCCACAATCCAAGGCACACGCCGGGTGCTCCAAAACCCGAAAATCAAATTCTCTTCCCCTGTGCAGACCAGCAGACCGGATCTAATGCATGGTTGACTGCATTCCGTTGTGAATTTACCTGTCACTGCCGACTCCACAGCGACAACCATAGGACGCCTGCGCCTAAAGTGGGCCTATGGTTGGTTTGTCCTGTATCAGCCACAGCTACATGCACACACCCATATCCAGTGTGAATCTGAAGGAATAAGACCAGTAGGCATGTGTATGGGGGCTACGTTTATACAACATAAACGGCTTACACTATTTCAACATACAAAACAGGAGCATTCATGTTTATCAAGATTGCGAATTAGAAGAACCAGACGAAATCAAAGCGGTAGCTGGGCCATTGTCTGCTGCACATTGGATGGAACCATTTTTACTCCTAGTAGGGCCACGAGGACAGTGCGGCCCTTTACCTCTGGCAGCGGATAACTGTCTTGTGGAGGCAGTGTAATCGAGGCGCAAAACCATCTCTTCCAGATGAACAAAAATGTCCATGGATATGTACCGAACCCACTGTTTGTACTCAGATGTTCGTTCGCGCTGGTGCAATTCGGCTTGCTTCCTAATCATTTACGCAGACGCTATCAAATTTCAGCAACCAATTCCATTACCTTTCCGTGTGCGACAGACCGATCACCGTAAATTTCGGTAGGTCGAGCGTCAACTCGATCGACAATTGGTAATCAACCGTTACTGTTTACTCTCTACGGACTACTATCAAGAGTGACCGTGGCTGCACACGCTGTCAAACGAGTTCCGTTCGACAGCAACTCTTCACAGCTCCAGCCATAAGTGACATGCAAGTCATCAAGTAGACGAAACGTTCTGTCTGCTGCATAGATGCAGTTAACCCCCGTTGTCTTCTTTACAAAGGGTCTATTATATTCAGGAACATTTTAGTGCAATTCAGCTGATAGTTTCTGTCAAACTGATGTAAACCCAAAGTGTATTAAATAGCAAATTTTAACACAGCCGACATTTTCAAAATATCCGATGCGGGATTTCATTATAAACAGTGTACTTCGTTAAAGTCTCACAATCTCGGCGTTCTACATTATCATACCTAAACAGACGATTGCATTCTGTGTCTGTCGTTCAGTCGACAGCCTTTCCCACTGCGTTTGGTAATGGCACCAGCCGGATTGCTCTGCATTAGTGCACTTAAATACTATCATGAATGGAGGGTTGCTTTGGTATGTATGCGAGACACAGCGACAAGATTGAGCAAATCCGAGCACAATGTCTTGCTAGCAGCTGAAAAATTGAGCTCACGGTCATTTACAGACAGAACTGTTGTTGTAGTTTAACGGACAATATCCGTTGGGGACTCAGTGATAAACGGTAGATCGCAAAAGTTAATAAGAAGGACTAAGCAGCATACCTGGATCCAAAGGATTTTGGGCGTCACGGTTACGGCGGATTACTGTTCATGCTATGCCATTTCTCGCGTGGCCTACAATCAATCTTTATTCTCCATCTCTGTAGCATGCCTGCATTTCGACATGTTTGTACAATCGTCTATTTGCTTAACTGCGAATGATTTCTGATCACTCTTCCCATTAAGTGTGCAGCTGACTGTATCTAACTCCACCGCTAGTTATCTGCTTCATTCTTGTGCAGCGCAGTTTAGGAAACCTTGGGTTCACACTTATGTGAGCTAAAATGTGTCCTTTAGTTTACACGATCATGCCTGCTAATTGTACCAAAAGCCAAGGCTGCGTTACTTTCCCGGTTCGGTACTCTTCCACTCGTGCATGCAATTCGTTTGAAATGGGAAGCCTGAGTCCCGACTGAGAACGTTTAATACGTGATTAGGTTAACTAACAGCTTAGTCTATAGAGTTCTCCAGAGTTCGATCGTTTACGACATTCCACGATATACATATGCTTATGTAATAGCACGCGACCTGCGGAAAATCATGAACTGCATGTTGAATTCGTCTGCCTGAACCGTGGTTACCACACACATATGGTACCAAAGTCAGATCAGCCAAATGGTTGCAGCGACTACAAATTACTTATCACTCTAAGAACAATGTGGCATTCCACCGGTGCTGTTTACTTCATCCCACAGAGCTACTGCATCCTTGATTGTCAAAGTTTATCGCGGAACCACGACATCTTCACGGTACTTACCGGTTGCCGTTACTTAGGTTTAGCGTTGCATATAATGGTCATAGTTGTAGATCATGCTTTCCGTCAAGTGTTTCTCTCCATCTTTTTGCCTATCATAAGCCCACACTGACCATGCTTGCTTAAAAGCATTGCATAAACCCTTCTGCGTTCCATAGTACGTTCAACATTATGCAATCTACTGTGCTGTTCAGGCTCGTCATCCTTCACTGAAACTTCTAGGTATATTTTGTATGATAAACCTATAATCAGCAATGGGAAGGTTTACTTTAATTGATCCATTTGAGAGAATTGTTGTGCGATTATTAGCGCAAGATAAACGCTTTGTTAATCAATGTATATATTATGGAGTATGGTCGTCAGTTTCTAAGTACGTGATGGCCTCTCACTGGAAACTGCTGTAAGTACGCAGTTGGATGCTGACAGGTCACACATGTACGAAGTGCCGGTCCATAACTGGAACATTATAATCACAGCGCCATTAGCTTCAATAATACCTGCTCCGTGCATTTTGCATATCGGATGAACTTACCAGAACTATCAGTGACTGTTGATGACGTGGAGTCGTCCTCCTCGGTTACGACGGGGTCCGAGGTGGAATCTGTGTTTATACATAAGGGTGAGTTGAAAAATTTTCTTAGTGAAATGCATTTTCATTTGGGTGTCAATTGTCATGTTGTCTGTGAAATTACCATGCAAACTGTGGATCAGATATCAGAAGCATATTCTTCTTATCGACACTATCTGCGCCATTTGCTGTGACTCCGACCCACCAACTATTTTATCTCCCCAATCGTTGTACTATGGTTTCATTTTAACGGGTATAATTACTATGCATTTCGTAAGATGAGCGTTGAGATTTTGTTCTGGATGATCACATCACCTGCGTTATTTGTTGGGACTCCGGCCATTTGATACTTTTTATTCTCTTTGTTCCTACTCGATTCTCACATGGTTCGTTCAACATTCGCTGTTATCTTGTTCACTCCCACACTGGGCAACTCACCCCAGGAGTGACACACGCATGCCGATATGATTCATCCTCTAACTCAGAGGCACCTCCGGCTTCATTGTTCCTTTTATTCTGCAGTGTCGTTCATGGCTTGGCCTTTTCAATAATTGTGCCACTAGCTTTAATGATACATCATCTATGCAATTCGCAGTCGGATAAACTTACCGAAACTATCAGTGGATGTCAATGGGTTGTCGATAGCTACTACCTCCCTCTCATCGCCGTCATCCCTAAATTCCGTCGTGAGTTCTGTGTCCAAAAATTAAAGGCAAATGGTAAGAATTCGTGGGTGAAATTTGCTCTTATTTGTGTATGGAACGAAAGTCAAACTTAGATGCAACCAACCATTTATTGTGAATGAACAGCACTCCTTTGCATTCACCGAGACTGATTCACAGATTTTGCTAGTAGCTTTGATCTCACTCGTGCGAGTAAGTCAGCTTTCCTCTCAGTTGTGTAAGTTTATTTTTTGCGTGGGGCTCGCAAAGATGGGATATTTTCCAAAATTATGTTGAGCTACCTTGGTCATCCAACGCTTATTGAATGATAATTCATTAGCGCAAATCACGTCTGATAACGTCATAGACGCAAGGCTCTTTTGAATATTAGATAAACATTATTACTGCTCTCATCTCGGATATTGTTCCTCTAACATTGTTGTAAATGCCGGCAGTTTTGATTTGCAGCTTATTTAATACATTGATGGATGACTTTCAAGACTCATTGGTAGACATTTTGCAATAAACTTTTACCAGCGAATTGTTGTTGGTGTATACTGATCTAGGTAACTTACCAATCACAATCACTTTTTGATCAGTCAATGGATGATCTAGTGGATGTTGAACTTTCTAGTAATAATTATGATGATGACGCATGAAACCTTTCGGATCTAGTGTTTCCGTTGAAACTGCATTGCGTTTTACACATTTGAATTATGAGGGCGTAAAACAATGTTAGGTGGTGCACATTTTTCAACGGTACAAAACGCTCTACCCCGTACACTTCACTGCGTTTGGGTACAAAACCCACTTAAAAAGTGCACAAAGGTTCAGTAAACAGATGAGAACCGTAGAGAGGCCGGTGGGACTTCTATAACGTGAAGATAGCGGACAAACACGATTGAAAAGAAATTAGTCAGCCACCCCAAACCGTATATACGTGGAACCAAGCTAAAGGTTTGAGTGTTTGTTATTTTTTCATACATGATATACCGAAGCTCTACGACACACGTAAGCTTTATAACAATACATCTTGGCAGTTCCTTAAAATAACATTTTGAATCATGTCTTTGTTATCGCAATTACCGCTCTTGTTACCTAAATAATCCAATCTCAATCGTATACTGAAGCGCTTGGCCTAAAAAATTTTGCGTTGTGGTAAAACATTGCTCAATAAAAACACCAACTGTCGGTTAGCGAACGTTGCCGATCAGTTTCAAATATGTTTCAAACTTCATAGTTCATTTTTCGCTTGTCGCTAATATTTTGCCCTTCAAGATCAAATGAGTTTACTACAACCGTTCAGCGTGACTGCGTCAATGACTCGCTTTTAACATAAAGCAGTAACAGCTGTAGTCGGTGGAAATACGTAGAGTCAGGCAAACTTTAATTTCATTCTTTCCTGACGACATGTCATTCGCTTGCCTTAAACGTCTCAGTCAGTAGACGTTGTAAGAAAAGAGCGAAATTCTGCTGCATATAACCTCGGAAGTAATATGGTGCCAGGCTAGGTATTCCAAATTTTCGTCTCCACTCATAATTAAAGATGCCCCATTAATTTTTTAACACAGTCTACCCCAGTTGAATTATATTTCTATCGTTTATACTATTCTATTCTCGCAGTTCACCCACTCACACCGTATCAGTCTCTCTGCGGCGAGGTGAAGCAAAATTTCGGGGGTGTTTTCAAATACACCCAGACTTCCTCACCATATTATAAGTAAACACATTGGTCCCCAATTACAATTTTTCTAACATGTTGTTGAATAGATTAATATAATTAGACACAAATCATCAACCTATTTTATTTGGCAATCTGACCAAACCGCATGCTATAACCAAATAGCTTCAGCCATTTTTGGTCATTCCTTGTTGCTTGCACAATTTTCGATATTCCTTGTGATGTGAATACAAAGATAGGTGTAATTCAAAACCCAATTGTCACGGTTATTTACAGCATCAGTGCTATCAAATTTCAGCAAGCATCTCCATTACATTTCCATGTGTCACAGACCGACAAAAGTACATTTCGGAAGGTTGATGGTCACCTCGAACTACAATTAGTAATCAACCAATTCTGCTTAATCTCTATGGGCTACTATCAAGAGTGACCGTGGCTGCACACGCTGTCAAACGAGTTCCGTTCGACAGCAACTCTTCACAGCCTCAGTCCTAAGTGACATGCAAGTCATCAAGTAGACGAAACTTTCTGTCTGCTTCATAGATGCAGTTAACCTCCGTTACCTTCTTTACAAAGGGTCTATTATATTCAGGAACATTTTAGTGCAATTCAGCTGATAGTTTCTGTCAAACTGATGTAAACCCAAAGTGTATTAAATAGCAAATTTTAACACAGCCGACATTTTCAAAATATCCGATGCGGGATTTCATTATAAACAGTGTACCTCGTTAAGGTCTCACGCTATCGGCATTCTACATTTTCATACCTAAACAGACGATTGCATTCTGTGTCCGTCGTCCGTTTGACAGCCATTCCAACTGCTTTTGGTAATGGCACCAGCCGGATTGCTCTGTATTCGTGCACTTAAATACTATCATGAATGGAGGGTTGCTTTGGTATGTATTCGAGACCCAGCGACAAAACTGAGCAAATCCGAGCACAATGTCTTGCTAGCAGCTGAAAAATTGAGCTCTCGGTCATTTACAAATAGAACTGTTGTTGTAGTTTAACGAGCGATATCCGTTGGGGACTCAGTGATAAACGGTAGATCGCAAAAGTTAATAAGAAGGAATAAACAGCATACCTGGATCCAAAGGATTTTGGGCGTCACGGTTACGGCGGATTACTGTTCATGCTATGCCATTTCTCGCGTGGCCTACAATCAATCTTTATTCTCCATCTCTGTAGCATGCCTGGATTTCGACATGTTTGTACAATCGTCTATTTGCTTAACTGCGAATGATTTCTGATCACTCTTCCCATTAAGTGTGCAGCTGACTGTATCTAACTCCACCGCTAGTTATCTGCTTCATTCTTGTGCAGCGCAGTTTAGGAAACCTTGGGTTCACACTTATGTGAGCTAAAATGTGTCCTTTAGTTTACACGATCATGCCTGCTAACTGTATCAGAAGCAAATGCTGCGCTCCTTTCCCGGTTGGGTACTCTTCGACTCGTACATGCAATTCGTTTGAAATGGGAAGCATGAGTCCCGATGGAGAACGTATAATATGCGAATAGGTTAACAAACAGCTTAGTCTATACAGTTCTCCAGAGTTCGATCGTTTACGACATTCCACGATATACATATGCTTATGTAATAGCACGCGACCTGCGGAAAATCATGAACTGCATGTTGAATTCGTCTGCCTGAACCGTGGTTACCACACACATATGGTACCAAAGTCAGATCAGCCAAATGGTTGCAGCGACTACAAATTACTTATCACTCTAAGAACAATGTGGCATTCCACCGGTGCTGTTTACTTCATCCCACAGAGCTACTGCATCCTTGATTGTCAAAGTTTATCGCGGAACCACGGCATCTTCACGGTACTTACCGGTTGCCGTTACTTAGGTTTAGCGTTGCATATAATGGTCATAGTTGTAGATCATGCTTTCCGTCAAGTGTTTATCTCCATCTTTTTGCCTATCATAAGCCCACACTGACCATGCTTGCTTAAAAGCATTGCATAAACCCTTCTGCGTTCCATAGTACGTTCAACATTATGCAATCTACTGTGCTGTTCAGGCTCGTCATCCTTCACTGAAACTTCTAGGTATATTTTGTATGATAAACCTATAATCAGCAATGGGAAGGTTTACTTTAATTGATCCATTTGAGAGAATTGTTGTGCGATTATTAGCACAAGATAGACTCTTTGTTAATTAATGTATATATTACGGAGTATGGTCGTCAGTTTCTAAGTACGTGATGGCCTCTCACTGGAAACTGCTGTAAGTACGCAGTTGGATGCTGACAGGTCACACATGTACGAAGTGCCGGTCCATAACTGGAACATTATAATCACAGCGCCATTAGCTTCAATAATACCTGCTCCGTGCATTTTGCATATCGGATGAACTTACCAGAACTATCAGTGACTGTTGATGACGTGGAGTCGTCCTCCTCGGTTACGACGGGGTCCGAGGTGGAATCTGTGTTTATACATAAGGGTGAGTGGAAAAATTTTCTTAGTGAAATGCATTTTCATTTGGGTGTCAATTGTCATGTTGTCTGTGAAATTACCATGCAAACTGTGGATCAGATATCAGAAGCATATTCTTCTTATCGACACTATCTGCGCCATTTGCTGTGACTCCGACCCACCAACTATTTTATTTCCCCAATCGTTGTACTATGGTTTCATTTTAACGGGTATAATTACTATGCATTTCGTAAGATGAGCGTTGAGATTTTGTTCTGGATGATCACATCACCTGCGTTATTTGTTGGGACTCCGGCCATTTGATACTTTTTATTCTCTTTGTTCCTACTCGATTCTCACATGGTTCGTTCAACATTCGCTGTTATCTTGTTCACTCCCACACTGTGCAACTCACCCCAGGAGTGACACACGCATGCCGATATGATTCATCCTCTAACTCAGAGGCACCTCCGCCTTCATTGTTCCTTTTATTCTGCAGTGTCGTTCATGGCTTGGCCTTTTCAATAATTGTGCCACTAGCTTTAATGATACATCATCTATGCAATTCGCAGTCGGATAAACTTACCGAAACTATCAGTGGATGTCAATGGGTTGTCGATAGCTACTACCTCCCTCTCATCGCCGTCATCCCTAAATTCCGTCGTGACTTCTGTGTCCAAAAATTAAAGGCAAATGATAAGAATTCGTGGGTGAAATTTGCTCTTATTTGTGTATGGAACGAAAATCAAACTTAGATGCAACCAACCATTTATTGTGAATGAACAGCACTCCTTTGCATTCACCGAGACTGATTCACAGATTTTGCTAGTAGCTTTGATCTCACTCGTGCGAGTAAGTCAGCTTTCCTCTCAGTTGTGTAAGTTTATTTTTTGCGTGGGGCTCGCAAAGATGGGATATTTTCCAAAATTATGTTGAGCTACCTTGGTCATCCAACGCTTATTGAATGATAATTCATTAGCGCAAATCACGTCTGATAACGTCATAGACGCAAGGCTCTTTTGAATATTAGATAAACATTATTACTGCTCTCATCTCGGATATTGTTCCTCTAACATTGTTGTAAATGCCGGCAGTTTTGATTTGCAGCTTATTTAATACATTGATGGATGACTTTCAAGACTCATTGGTAGACATTTTGCAATAAACTTTTACCAGCGAATTGTTGTTGGTGTATACTGATCTAGGTAACTTACCAATCACAATCACTTTTTGATCAGTCAATGGATGATCTAGTGGATGTTGAACTTTCTAGTAATAATTATGATGATGACGCATGAAACCTTTCGGATCTAGTGTTTCCGTTGAAACTGCATTGCGTGTTACACATTTGAATTATGAGGGCGTAAAACAATGTTAGGTGGTGCACATTTTTGAACGGTACAAAACGCTCCACCCCGTACACTTCACTGCGTTTGGGTACAAAACCCACTTAAAAAGTGCACAAAGGTTCAGTAAAGTGATGAGAACCGTAGAGAGACCGGTGGGACTTTTATAACGTGAAGATAGCGGACAAACACGATTGAAAAGAAATTAGTCAGCCACCCCAAACCGTATATACGTGGAACCAAGCTAAAGGTTTGAGTGTTTGTTATTTTTTCATACATGATATACCGAAGATCTACGACACACGTAAGCTTTATAACAATACATCTTGGCAGTTCCTTAAAATAACATTTTGAATCATGTCTTTGTTATCGCAGTTACCGCTCTTGTTACCTAAATAATCCAATCTCAATCGTATACTGAAGCGCTTGGCCTAAAAAATTTTGCGTTGTGGTAAAACATTGCTCAATAAAAACACCAACTGTCGGTTAGCGAACGTTGCCGATCAGTTTCAAATATGTTTCAAACTTCATAGTTCATTTTTCGCTTGTCGCTAATATTTTGCCCTTCAAGATCAAATGAGTTTACTACAACCGTTCAGCGTGACTGCGTCAATGACTCGCTTTTAACATAAAGCAGTAACAGCTGTAGTCGGTGGAAATACGTAGAGTCAGGCAAACTTTAATTTCATTCTTTCCTGACGACATGTCATTCGCTTGCCTTAAACGTCTCAGTCAGTAGACATTGTAAGAAAAGAGCGAAATTCTGCTGCATATAACCTCGGAAGTAATATGGTGCCAGGCTAGGTATTCCAAATTTTCGTCTCCACTCATAATTAAAGATGCCTCATTAATTTTTTAACACAGTCTACCCCAGTTGAATTATATTTCTATCGTTTATACTATTCCATTCTCGCAGTTCACCCACTCACACCGTATCAGTCTCTCTGCGGCGAGGTGAAGCAAAATTTCGGGGGTGTTTTCAAATACACCCAGACTTCCTCACTATATTATAAGTAAACACATTGGTCCCCAATTACAATTTTTCTAACATGTTGTTGAATAGATTAATATAATTAGACACAAATCATCAACCTATTTTATTTGGCAATCTGACCAAACCGCATGCTATGACCAAATATCTTCAGCCGTTGTTTTTCATTCATAGTTGCTCGCGAAATTTTCGATTTTTCTTCTGATGTGAATACAAATATAGGTGTAATTTACATTCCAATTTTCACAGATATATATAGCATTTGGAAAAACCTGAGATCTCTTATTATTCCTAACTAATTATGTGGCCACTAATGTAAGCCACGCTAACATGCTCTTTTTACCAGGTATACATGCATAAAGTCGGCAAAATTATAGTTTGCTCCCTAGTTGTTTTAGTAATTTCAGACTGACACCACGCAAAGAAGCAAATTGAAATTACAGATTTCGGTGAACCTACTTACCAGACATTTCGAGTGTAGTGCTTTCAGTGGGGACATAGCTTACGTTCCCCTTGTACTCCGCTTCATCTAAATTAACGATATGAAATTGAAGGTGAGATTCGAAAATGGTTCAGACGTAGCACAGCTGCAAGAAACAAAGACATACTAGGATGACTATGGTTACGTGAAATACAGATGGCTATCAAATTTCAGCAAGCATCTCCATTACATTTCCGTGTGTCACAGACCGACAAAAGTAAATTTCGGAAGGTTGATGGTCACCTCGAACTACAATTAGTAATCAACCAATTCTGCTTAATCTCTATGGACTACTATCAAGAGTGACCGTGGCTGCACACGCTGTCAAACGAGTTCCGTTCGACAGCAACTCTTCACAGCATCAGTCCTAAGTGACATGCAAGTCATCAAGTAGACCAAACGTTCTGTCTGCTTCATAGATGCAGTTAACCTCCGTTACCTTCTTTACAAAGGGTCTATTATATTCAGGAACATTTTAGTGCAATTCAGCTGATAGTTTCTGTCAAACTGATGTAAACCCAACGTGTTTTAAATAGCTAATTTTAACACAGCCGACATTTTCAAAATATCCGATGCGGGATTTCATTATAAACAGTGTACCTCGTTAAGGTCTCACGCTCTCGGCGTTCTACATTTTCATACCTAAACAGACGATTGCATTCTGTGTCCGTCGTCCGTTTGACAGCCATTCCAACTGCTTTTGGTAATGGCACCAGCCGGATCGCTCTGTATTCTTGAACTTAAATACTATCATGAATGAAAGGTTGCTTTGGTATGTATTCGAGGCCCAGCGACAAAACTGAGCAAATCCGAGCACATGTCTTGCTAGCAGCTGAAAAGTTGAGCTCTCGGTCATTTACAAATAGAACTGTTGCTGTAGTTTAACGAGCGCTATCCGTTGGGGACTCAGTGATAAACGGTAGATCGCAAAAGTTAATCAGAAGTACTAAACAGCATACCTGGATCCAAAGGATTTTGGGCGTCACGGTTACGGCGGATTACTGTTCATGCTATGCCATTTCTCGCGTGGCCTACAATCAATCTTTATTCTCCATCTCTGTAGCATGCCTGGATTTCGACATGTTTGTACAATCGTCTATTTGCTTAACTGCGAAAGATTTCTGATCACTCTTCCCATTAAGTGTGCAGCTGACTGTATCTTACTCCGCCGCTAGTTGTCTGCTTCATTCTTGTGCAGCGCAGTTTAGGAAACCTTGGGTTCACACTTATGTGAGCTAAAATGTGTCCTTTAGTTTACACGATCATGTCTGCTAACTGTATCAGAAGCAAAGGCTGCGCTCCTTTCCCGGTTGGGTACTCTTCGACTCGTACATGCAATTCGTTTGAAATGGGAAGCATGAGTCCCGATGGAGAACGTATAATATGCGAATAGGTTAACAAACAGCTTAGTCTATACAGTTCTCCAGAGTTCGATCGTTTACGACATTCCACGATATACATATGCTTATGTAATATTACGCGACCTGCGCAAAACCATGAACTGCATGTTGAATTCGTCTGCCTGAACCGTGGGTGCCACACACATATGGTACCAAAGTCAGATCAGCCAAATGGTTGCAGCGACTACAAATTACTTATCACTCTAAGAACAATGTGGCATTCCACCGGTGCTGTTTACTTCATCCCACAGAGCTACTGCATCCTTGATTGTCAAAGTTTATCGCGGAACCACGGCATCTTCACGGTACTTACCGGTTGCCGTTACTTAGGTTTAGCGTTGCATATAATGGTCATAGTTGTAGATCATGCTTTCCGTCAAGTGTTTATCTCCATCTTTTTGCCTATCATAATCCCACACTGACCATGCTTGCTTAAAAGCATTGCATAAACCCTTCTGCGTTCCATAGTACGTTCAACATTATGCAATCTACTGTGCTGTTCAGGCTCGTCATCATTCACTGAAACTTCTAGGTATATTTTGTATGATAAACCTATAATCAGCAATGGGAAGTTTACTTTAATTGATCCATTTGAGAGATTTGTTTTGCGATTAGTAACACAAGATAAAGTCATTGTTAATTAATGTATATGTTACGGAGTATGGTCGTCAGTTTCTAAGTACGTGATGGCCTCTCACTGGAAACTGCTGTAAGTACGCAGTTGGATGCTGACAGGTCACACATGTACGAAGTGCCGGTCCATAACTGGAACATTATAATCACAGCGCCATTAGCTTCAATAATACCTGCTCCGTGCATTTTGCATATCGGATGAACTTACCAGAACTATCAGTGACTCTTGATGACGTGGAGTCGTCCTCCTCGGTTACGACGGGGTCCGAGGTGGAATCTGTGTTTATACATAAGGGTGAGTGGAAAAATTTTCTTAGTGAAATGCATTTTCATTTGGGTGTCAATTGTCATGTTGTCTGTGAAATTACCATGCAAACTGTGGATCAGATATCAGAAGCATATTCTTCTTATCGACACTATCTGCGCCATTTGCTGTGACTCCGACCCACCAACTATTTTATTTCCCCAATCGTTGTACTATGGTTTCATTTTAACGGGTATAATTACTATGCATTTCGTAAGATAAGCATTGAGATTTTGTTCTGGATGATCACATCATCTGCGTTATTTGTTGGGACTCCGGCCATTTGATACCTTTTATTCTCTTTGTTCCTACTCGATTCTCACATGGTTCGTTCAACATTCGCTGTTATCTTGTTCACTCCCACACTGTGCAACTCACCCCAGGAGTGACACACGCATGCCGATATGATTCATCCTCGAACTCAGAGGCACCTCCGCCTTCATTGTTCCTTTTATTATGCAGTGTCGTTCATGGCTTGGATTTTTCAATAATTGTGCCACTAGCTTTAATGATACATCATCTATGCAATTCGCAGTCGGATAAACTTACCGAAACTATCAGTGGATGTCAATGGCTTGTCGGTAGCTACTACCTCCCTCTCATCGCCGTCATCCTTAAATTCCGTCGTGACTTCTGTGTCCAAAAATTAAAGGCAAATGGTAAGAATTCGTGGGTGAAATTTGATCTTATTTGTGTATGGAAGGAAAATCAAACTTAGATGCAACCAACCATTTATTGTGAATGAACAGCACTCCTTTGCATTCACCGAGACTGATTCACAGATTTTGCTAGTAGCTTTGATCTCACTCGTGCGAGTAAGTCAGCTTTCCTCTCAGTTGTGTAAGTTTATTTTTTGCGTGGGGCTCGCAAAGATGGGATATTTTCCAAAATTATGTTGAGCTACCTTGGTCATCCAACGCTTATTGAATGATAATTCATTAGCGCAAATCACGTCTGATGACGTCATAGACGCAAGGCTCTTTTGAATATTAGATAAACATTATTACTGCTCTCATCTCGGATATTGTTCCTCTAACATTGTTGTAAATGCCGGCAGTTTTGATTTGCAGCTTATTTAATACATTGATGGATGACTTTCATGACTCATTTTGCAATAAACTTTTACCAGCGAATTTTCGTTGGTGTGGTCAGCATGAAATCACAACCCATGATAAGAACAGTTGTGTTATATTCGTGAAACACTCCGCTTGGATGATGTGGTAGCGAAATCCCTGTCACGACTGCGTACCTCACCGAACTGCAAAGGAATTGGCCCGAGAGTGCTGAAGGTGGTCCTTCGGTCAAAAGATATGGTAGCACGGATGTTATAAAGCTGGTACATATTCCGTTGCAAGGTACCATCTGAGGTTCAGCTGAAGGCAATCAACGATATGTCTCCTAGAGATGATATGTCACTCAAAAAAAAACGCGATGGGATCTGTGGGAGAACAACGCACCAGTAGTGTGCCGAATGTGCCCATACAACCCGTAGATGACACTGACCAGACACCTTACACTGTACGTCGCAGATCAGATACGGGACTAACTACACGGGCGATGAATAAAATGTTAAACCCTTCACCAAGCACACATCGAAAAAACGATTAGTCGCCGGCCAATCACTGGTCGGCGAAACTTCACATATGAGTTGCAGAACCTGCGAAACATTGCTTAAATCAGAGAAGTCTGTGTAAGCGAACATATGTTTTCGGTAATTCTTCATCAGGCTTGTACAATTACATGAAATGCAAACTTTTAGTATACAGACCCAACGGGTTGTCAGTCAACCAAATTGATCTTAGTGCGCTGTGACACATCTTCGGTTAGGTTACAGTTGTATTCGTACGTGCGTACAGATCAACTGCAGTTCGTCCTGGCCAAGGTAGGCTCAACGCGTGAGTGAACCGTTTCTGCGTGCACAGTGCTGGTTCGTACAGCCGAATGGCGATGGCTTCTGCGGCGTCTAATATCCGCTTACGGAAATACCTTGATCGATTCTCTGGGGCCTGATAGATTACTTTGAACGAGTCAGCCAACTTGGTGGCGTGACCCGTATCCGCAAGATGCGTGGCGATGGCAGAGTTGGTGACCTTTCGGCCTCCATTTCCGAGCCAGGTCGGATGGTGTTCCGTCAACCTTTCGGATAAGCGTTTTGTCGTACGACCAACGTAACCTGCCCCACAGAGAAACTTTCATGTATGTACACTAATGCCCAAGGGCTCCTCAGTAAAATTACCGAACTTCGACTACGTCAGGTTGCGAATGCTTGGGACCTAATTTCCATTACCGAAACTTGGTTACACCAAGAGGTGACTGATGCTGAGGTTCAGATAGCCGGAATGTCACTCATCCGGAACGACCGCCCCAGCAGAGGAGGTGGGGTCCTACTCTACTGCCGCAGCGATCTACAATGTACAAACATTGATGATCTGGAAACACATGTGCTGACTCACTCTGGTGCCGTCTCCGACTGAGACACAACGACAAGTGTCTAGTAGCTGTCGTTACCCGCCCGCAACCTCCACTCTGGAAATGGATTTCTGCTTGATCCGTGGCCTAAACAGAGTAACACGCACTAGGTACAGCCACATTCTCATCTCCGGGGACTACAATCTACACAATCTGGAGGTTTCGGCATCGCCCAGTGAGCAGTTCAAAGCAGATTTGCATGAACTGATCGCTAATATTCCTTTGTACAATCATGTCACCACGCCCACTAGATTCAGGACAGCAAACAAACCGTCCATACTGGACCTTGTGCTCACGAATGAAGAGCTCATGGTTGACAAGTTATTGATGGATGGTCCATTAGGTCTCAGTGACCATGTAGTAATAACTTTTGACTATGTGTGTTATGCAGAGTATCCATCTGAACACTCGGAACTAACTCATACAATCACACGCTGCCACGTATTGAAAGAACTCGCCGACGCAGCTGCTTGGGAATTCTCAAACAAAAGTCCCCTTGACAACGTTTGGACAGAGTTCGTTAATAAATTCAGCGACATCGTCAACAAAGCATCAGAGACCAAACCCCTTCGTCCCGCGAAAAAGCCTTCAATTATATGGAGAATGACTCGAAAATGCCTGGCGATAAGGGATGCAGCATGGCATGCCTACAAGATTAACCCCGACTCAGAGACTTGGGGAAATTTCCTGACCCATCGCAACCATTGTACTGCACTTGTCCGTGAGGACAAAGTAACTTATCAACAGAGCCTAGCCAAAAAATTCATGGCAAACAACAAACTGCTATCTAGGCATGTCAATAATCTTCTTAAAGTGAAGCATGGAATCCCCCCACTTTTAACGACAGGCGGTAGAGTACAAAGTGCCGAAGAAGCTGCTAATGCCTTGCGGCTGCAATACACCCCAATCTTCGAACTCGCAACCTCTAACTGTCCCATAATATCAAGCACATTACCGACACCTTTGTTGACAAATGTTATTTTCAACCCATCAATTGTGCTAAGGATGTTACTCTCGCTGCGTGAGCATAGTTCTCCGCCATCAGACAACATCCGCCCGAAGGCACTGAAGGCTACGGCCACCAAGCTAGCTGAACCACTGTCACAGTTTTTTCAAAGGTGCTTTGATGAACAACAAGTCCCCACTATGTGGAAGTGTGGCATTATAACCCCTATTTTTAAAGGCGGTAGCCGTTCCAATCCTGCAAACTATCGTCCAGTGACTCTCCTCCCTGTGCTCGCGAAACTGATGGAAGCAGTCGTCGCTGAGGCTTTAATGGACTACCTAGAAAAATGCAACATTTTGGTACCGGAGCAGCATGGCTTCCGTCAACACCGGTCATGTACCACCAACCTACATATTGCACGAGGTAGTTGGACGGAAGTGGCCGATGATGGGGTCGGAGTCGATGTCATCTATCTGGACTTCCCCTAAGCTTTTGACCGCCTTGATCACCGCATCCTACTTCAAAGACTACAGAGTTACGGAATCGGTGATCCTGTACTTAGTTGGATTGGCAACTTCCTTTGCCAACGGAAGCTTCAAGTACGTGTTAGGGGATCACTTTCTAACCCAATTGAGGTGGAATGTGGTGTCCCACAAGGCTCAATGCTGGGACCGGGTTTATTCCTGGTGTTTATCAACGACCTGGCATCAGTTGTCTCCTCAGATTTCCTGCTTTTCGCCGATGATGTCAAGATATGGCGGGCGATTGGTAACAAGCCAGATCAGAATCTGCTCCAACGTGACTTAGATCGCATTTACGAATGGTCAAAGAGGAACAAGCTTCAATTAAACATGGCTAAGTGCAAAGTGATGCATCTGCGTCACCAGCCGGTGAGCGCTTACGAGATTTGAGACCACACCTTGGCGAAGGTCTCTCAGGAGCGTGACCTGGGTGTATTGGTGCAGGAAGATCTCGGGTGTTCACAACAAGCAGAGAAGGCGACGAGAACCGGAAATCAACACTTCCGCCTTCTTCACAGAGCCTTCAGTCAGTTTGAACCATCAATCTTTCCCCAAATGCTTAATGCCTACGTGCGACCTCACGTGGAATATGCTATTCAGGTGTGGCAGCCGTGGCAGAAACAGGATCTCATTGCTCTCGAGACTCCTCAACGAAGGGCAACCAAGAATGTCAGGGGCCTCTTTCATCTGCCCTATCAGCTTAGAATGAAATCTCTACGAATGCAGAGCAGTCGACATCGGCTTTTGCGGGGGGATCTCATAATGGTTTACCAGATTCTGAAGAACCCAAACCACATTTGCCGTCCGCTGCTGGAATTGAACCACAACACTAAACTAAGAGGTCACCCTCTGAAACTGACAATTCAGTATGGCCGGCTTGAATGCCGTAGAAATTTCTTTTCTCTCCGCGTGTGCCAGCCTTGGAACGCCCTCCCTAATTATGTCGTCTCTGCTCCCAATCTGGCGATATTAAAAAAAGTGTTGACGATGCATTGTCTCACTTACATTCCATTTTATGACTTGTTAGCCAGGGGCTACAAAAAGCAATCAAATGGTATCTTGCCAAACGCCTAAACAATGGATTGATAGATATATGTGTTTAATACGCAAACATCTCTGCTATTCCACATAAGTCCATGGTGAGTCCACCACAACGAATTTCACTTTATCATGCAATTGATTTTCACAATCATTTCCATCCTACGGGGCTTGTTAAGCAACGCTTTTTTACCCGTAATAAACCATTGTTCCATTGTTCCATAATACTCTAGGTAACCTACCAATCACAATCGTTATTTGATCAGTCAATGGATGGTCCAGTGGATGTTGAATTTTCGAGTAGTAATTATGATGATGACGCATGAAACCTTTCGGATTAAGTGTTTCCGTTGAAACTGCATTGCGTGTTATACATTTGAATTATGAGGGCGTAAAACAATGTTAGGTGGTGCACATTTTTGAGCGGTCAAAACGCTCTACCCCGTACACTTCACTGCGTCTGGATGCAAAACACACTTAAAAAGTGCACAAAGGTTCAGTAAACAGATGAGAACCGTAGAGAGGCCGGTGGGACTTCTATAACTTGAAGGTAGCGGACAAACACGATTGGAAAGAAATTAGTCAGCCACCCCAAACTGTATATACGTGGAACCAAGCTCAAGGTTTGAGTGTTTGTTATTTTTTTTACATGATATACCGAAGCTCTACGACACACGTAAGCTTTATAACAATACATCTTGGCAGTTCCTTAAAATAACATTTTGAATCATGTCTTTGTTATCGCAATTACCGCTCTTGTTACCTAAATAATCCAATCTCAATCGTATACTGATGCGCCTGGCCTAAAGAATTTTGCGTTGTGGTAAAACATTGCTCAATAAAAACACCAACTGTCGGTTAGCGAACGTTGCCGATCAGTTTCAAATATGTTTCAAACTTCATAGTTCATTTTTCGCTTGTCGCTAATATTTTGCCCTTCAAGATCAAATGAGTTTACTACAACCGTTCAGCATGACTGCGTCAATGACTCGCTTTTAACATAAAGCAGTAACAGCTGTAGTCGGTGGAAATACGTAGAGTCAGGCAATCTCTAATTTCACTCTTTCCTGAAGACAAGTCATTCGCTTGCCTAACACTTCTCAGTCAGCAGACATTGTAAGAAATGAGCGAAATTCTGCTGGATATAACCTCGACAGTAATATGGTGCTAGGCTAGGTATTCCAAATTTTCGTCTCCACTCATTTTTAAAGATGCCTCATTAATTTTTTTAATACAGTCTACCCCAGTTGAAGTATATTTCTATCGTTTATACTATTCCATTCTCGCAGTTCACCCACTCACACCGTATCAGTCTCTCTGCAGCGAGGTGAAGCAAAATTTCGGGAGTGTTTTCAAATACACCCAGACTTCCTCACTATATTATAAGTAAATACATTGGTACCCAATTACAATTTTTCTAACATGTTGTTGAATAGAGTAATATATTTAGACACAAATCATCAACCTATTTTATTTGGCTATCTGACCAAACCGCATGCTGTGACAAAATAGCTTCAGCCATTGTTGGTAATTCTTAGTTTTTCATTTCTAGCACGAGTTTCGATTTCCCTTGTGATGTGAATACAAAGATAGGTTTGATTTAAAACTCAATTTTCACAGTTATATACAGCATCAGTGCTATAAATTCCAGCAATCAACTGCATTTCCTTTCCGTGTGTGGCAGACCGATCGCCGTAAATTTCGGTAGGTTGAGCGTCACCTCGATCGACAAATAGTAATCAACCAATTCTGCTTAATCTCTATGGACTACTACCAAGAGTGACCGTGGCTGCACACGCTGTCAAACGAGTTCCTTTCGAAAGCAACTCTTCACAGCCTCAGCCCTAAGTGACATGCAAGTCATCAAGTAGACCAAACGTTCTGTCTGCTTCATAGCTGCAGTTAACCTCCATTACCTTCTTTACAAAAGGTCTATTCTATTCAGGAACACTTTAGTGCACTTCAGCTGATAGTTTCTGTCAAACTGAAGTAAACCCAAAGTGTATTAAATAGCAAATTTTAACACAGCCGATATTTTCAAAATATCCGATGCGGGATTTCATTATAAACAGTGTACCTCGTTAAGGTCTCACGCTCTCGGCGTTCTACATTTTCATAACTAAACAGACGGTGGCGTTCTGTGTCCGTCGTCCAGTCTACATCCCTTCCCACTGCTTTTGGTAATGGCACCAGCCGGATTGCTCTGTATTCGTGCACTTAAATACTATCATGAATGGAGGGTTGCTTTGGTATGTATTCGAGGCCCAGCGACAAAACTGAGCAAATCCGAGCACAATGTCTTGCTAGCAGCTGAAAAATTGAGCTTTTGGTCATTTAAAAATAGAACTGTTGTTGTAGTTTAACGAACGATATCCGTTGGGGACTCTGTGATAAACGGTAGATCGCAATAGTTAATCAGAAGTACTAAACAGCATACCTGGATCCAAAGGATTTTGGACGTCACGGTTACGGCGGATTACTGTTCATACTGTGCCATTTCTCGCGTGGCCTACAATCAATCTTTATTCTCCATCTCTGTAGCATGCCTGGATTTCGACATGTTTGTACAATCGTCTATTTGCTTAACTGCGAATGATTTCTGATCACTCTTCCCATTAAGTGTGCAGCTGACTGCATCTAACTCCGCCGCTAGTCATCTGCTTCATTTTTATGCAGCGCAGTGGTTAAGAAACTTTGGGTTTACACTAATGTGAGCTAAAATATGCCCGTTAGTTTACACGATCATGCCTGCTAACTGTATCAGAAGCAAAGGCTGCGCTCCTTTCCCGGTTGGGTACTCTTCGACTCGTACATGCAATTCGTTTGAAATGGGAAGCATGAGTCCCGACAGAGAACGTATAATATGCGAATAGGTTAACAAACAGCTTAGTCTATACAGTTCTCCAGAGTTCGATCGTTTACGACATTCCACGATCTACATATGCTTATGTAATATTACGCGACCTGCGCAAAACCATGAATTGCATGTTGAATTCGTCTGCCTGAACCGTGGGTGCCACCCACATATGGTACCAAAGTCAGATCAGCCAAATGGTTGCAGCGACTACAAATTACTTATCACTCTAAGAACAATGTGGCATTCCACCGGTGCTGTTTACTTCATCCCACAGAGCTACTGCATCCTTGATTGTCAAAGTTTATCCCGGAACCACGGCATCTGCACGGTACTTACCGGTTGCCGTTACTTAGGTTTAGCGTTGCATATAATGGTCACAGTTGTAGATCATGCTTTCCGTCAAGTGTTTATCTCCATCTTTTTGCCTATCATTATCCCACAATGACCATGCTTGCTTAAAAGCATTGCATAAACCTTTCTGCGTTCCATAGTACGTTCAACATTATGCAATCTACTGTGCTGTTCAGGCTCGTCATCATTCACTGAAACTTCTAGGTATATTTTGTATAATAAACCTATAATCAGCAATGCGAGGGTTTACTTTAATTGATCCATTTGAGAGAATTGTTGTGCGATTATTAGCGAAAGATAAACTCTTTGTTAATTAATGTATATATTACGGAGTATGGTCGTCAGTTTCTAAGTACGTGATGGCCTCTGACTGGAAACTGCTGTAAGTACGCAGTTGGATGCTGACAGGTCACACATGTACGAAGTGACGGTCCATAACTGGAACATTATAATCACAGCGCCATTAGCTTCAATAATACCTGCTCCGTGCATTTCGTATGTCGGATGAACTTACCAGAACTATCAGTGACTTTTGATGACGTGGACTCGTCCTCCTCGGTTGCGACGGGGTCCGAGGTGGAATCTGTGTTTATACATAAGGGTAAGTGGAAAAATTTTCTTAGTGAAATGGATTTTCATTTGGGTGTCAATTGTCATGTTGTCTGTGAAATTACCATGCAAACTGTGGATCAGATATCCGAAGCATATTCTTCTTATCGACACTATCTGCGCCATTTGCTGTGACTCCGACCCACCAACTATTTTATTTCCCCAATCGTTGTACTATGGTTTCATTTTAACGGGTATAATTACTATGCATTTCGTAAGATGAGCGTTGAGATTTTGTTCTGGATGATAACGTCACCTGCGTTATTTGTTGGGACTCCGGCCATTTGATACTTTTTATTCTCTTTGTTCCTACTGGATTCTTATGTGGTTCGTTCAACATTCGCTGTTATCTTGTTCACTCCCACACTGTGCAACTCACCCCAGGAGTGACACACGCATGCTGATATGATTCATCCTCTAACCCAGAGGCATCTCCGCCTTCATTGTTCCTTTTATTCTGGAGTGTCGTTCATGGCTTGGCCTTTTCAATAATTGTGCCACTAGCTTTAATAATACATCATCTATGCAATTTGCAGTCGGATAAACTTACCGAAACTATCAGTGTATGTCAATGGCTTGTCGGTAGCTACTACCTCCCTCTGGCTGGCTTGCCGAACTACCTCCCCGTGGTGCCAGCTGGGTGGTTCGGGTGTACCCCGTTCCAGCAAAGTGTTCGGCGTCAATGTTCCACCTCCTTGGGGCATTGTATTCCAGCAATTTTGCTGACTTCATGGGGAGTATTGGGCCCCTGTTTGGTAATCTACCAAACAAAGGCGCATGAGCTGATCATTCAGTCAACGCCTCCCAATGGGCGCGATTCCCTAAATTCGCCCCGCTGCCTTGCGGGTAGGTTATTTAGCCAAAGGCTCGGGGTGGAGTCCCCTAAGTCAACTCCCTACTTCGGCTTGGGCAACCGGGTAGTATCACGCCCTCTCGCAAAACCATGGACTGTACTACAACGCGCTCATCAGCTGCTGTTCATGCTACTCACTTTCAAGCTACTCCATCACACGCCAATTTTTTGTTTGCTAACAATCCTCACTTTCGGTTACCTGATTCATCTGTTCAACAATCTGGCTGCGATTCCGGTTGCTCCGCAGATCAAGGAATTCAACCTATGGCTCTCCTTCGTCCCCGATCCTCGTTCCGTCTGGCGTGCTTCAACGTCCGGACACTCATGCAGATTGGACAGCAAGCCGGTCTAGCGCGCACCCTAGATTCCCTAGACATTGATGTCTGCTGCCTTTCAGAAACTCGACTGCAAGATCCCAGCACTGTGCTTACACTGACATCCCCCACTGACCACGAAGCCAGATATCACCTACGTCTTTCTGGAGATCCAGAAGCAGCCTCAGCGGGTTTGGCTGGTGTAGGTATAGCACTGAGTGGCAAGGCCGAGGCGGCACTACTGGACTGGTTCCCGATTAACAGCCGACTATGTGCAGTTCGGCTTCGGGGTTCATGTAGAATCAACAGGCAACGCGAAGAGAGACGCAATTTGTTTGTGATCTCTGTGTATGCTCCAACTGACTGTAGTAGCGACTCGGTCAAGGACGATTTCTACCGAGATCTACAACAGCTCTTGACTAATGCTAAAAAGTCGGATGTCGTTATCCTTGCTGGGGATTTTAATGCACGGGTTGGCCGCCTGTTACCATACGAACGCCACCTTGTTGGTCATCACGCGCTCGATGAGAACCGCTCTGATAACGGAGAGAGACTTCTCACATTGTGCGAGGACAACCGTCTGTTTCTCTCGAGCACTAGCTTCAGGCGTACGAAGAAGCGTTCCGCAACTTGGCGTCCCCCTTCGCCAACACAACCTTGGTCTCAAATTGATCACATTGCGATTAGCTTCAGATGGCGCGGCAGCATACTGGACTGCAGGTCCTTTTGGTCCACTTTCGTTGATTCAGATCATGCTCTGGTCTGCGCGAAAATCTGTATGGGGCTTGGAGGATCCCGAAACACGAAGCACCGCAAGATTGATGTAAACAGATTAACTGATTCCTATGTCCAGGAGAGCTATCAGTCTTCATTGGCATATGCACTCAGTTGCAATCCACCGCGAGAAGTGGAACAACACTGGACTTGTATACGGAAAGCGTTGACCATTTCCGGACAGTCATGCTGCGGTCTAACTCGACGCCCTTTGAAGTCTTGGATCTCTGCTCGTTCTCTGGAGCTCTTTGAACGCCGCAAAGATATCTCCGCGGAATCAGATTGCAACGAGCGGCGCCGTTCTACCAACCGGCTGCTTAAGCAAAGCCTCCGCAAGGATCGCGAGACATGGTGGTCTGAGCGTGCTTTAGAGATGGAGACTGCTGCCCTCTCTGGTAACACTCGCAGGCTTTTCCAACTCATTCGGTCCACTGGCCTCAGGAAGCCTGGTGTCAGTGAGGTCATTTGTGAGCTGGATGAGTCTCCGATCACCAACCAACCGAGGCGTATGGACCGCTGGGCGGAGCATTTTCACTCGCAGTTCAACTGGCCTCCACCATCCATCAGTACATGCAGTACACCTTGCTGTCCACCTTGGCTAGTCCCATTGAATCCACCCAGCGAAGCAGAAGTCTGCCTTGAGATTCGACGCTTGAAGCGCTTCAAGGCTGCCGGCTTAGACGGACTTCCTCCGGAGCTATTCAAGTATGGCGGTGTGGCAGTCATTAACCAGCTAACCGCGCTGTTCGCAAAAATTTGGCATGAAGAGAAAGTGCCTCCCTCTTGGGGCGAATCAGTTATTGTCCCAATTTTCAAGAAAGGCGCTGGCACTTCATGTGCAAATCATCGCGGGATTAGTCTTATTTCGGTTGCCTCTAAGCTGTTGGCATCCATTCTACATCGTAGACTATCCCCAGTACGTGAATCGTACTACCGTGAAGAACAAGCTGGTTTCCGTCCTGGCCGCGGATGCGTGGATCAAATCTTCACGCTCCGCCAACTCCTTGAACATCGCCACATTTATCACAGGCCCACTATCGTTGCATTCCTAGACATACGTGCCGCTTTTGACTCTGTTGATCGACCTGCTTTATGGCGTTGCTTACTAAAGAACGGGGTGCCAGAGAAATATATCGCCATCTTACGAGCACTTTACCTTCACACATCCGGCAGAGTGAGGGTCTATGGCAAGCTTTCCTCGCAATTCGCTGTCAATAGCGGTGTGCGACAGGGCTGCCCTATGTCCCCATTCCTCTTCAACTTCGCAATCGAAGCCGTTCTGTCAAATGCCCTAGAAGGTTTCCAACATTTTTGCCTAGAGCTTCTACCGGGTGAGCGCGCGACCGACTTAGATTATGCTGATGATATCGCCTTACTTGGTGACGATCCTCAGGGTATGCAACTCATTCTGGATCGTTTGGCGGTTGAAGCATCTAAGTATGGCATGAGCTTCGCCCCATCGAAGTGTAGAGTACTGCTCAAGGATTGGCTTTCACCTGCACCCGTGCTCACTCTCCAAGGTGCACAACTTGAACAGGTAGATAGTTTCGTCTACCTTGGGAGCTGTGTTTCTGCTGACGGCACAATCAACAAAGAAGTTTCGCTTCGTATCGCTAAAGCTCGATCAGCATTTGTCAATCTGAGGCACTTGTGGCGTCGTCGCGACGTCTCATTCTCACTGAAAGGCCGAGTTTACAGCGCGTCCGTTCGCTCAGTATTGTTGTATGGGAGCGAGTCCTGGCCGATTCGCGTGGAAGATATGCGTCGTCTTTCTGCGTTCGATAACGGTTGCTTAAGGTGGATCGCTCGTGTTCGGTGGCAACATCGAGTTACCAGTACTGACGTTCGTCGTCGCGTCTTGGGGAATGCAAGTATTTCCTTCAACAAACTGGTTTTGTTGCGCCAGTTAAGATGGCTCGGTCATGTCCTACGCATGGCACCTGAGCGTCTACCGCGTCGCGCTCTATTCGCTCGTCAAGGACCTGGCTGGAAGCGACCGCGTGGAGGTCAGCCTTCCACTTGGCGGCAGCACATGAAATCGCTGACGTCGTGTCTAGCCGCTGTTGGACCCGTACGTCTTCCAGGATGGGGACCCAAAGATGAGGAGTGCCAATGGCTTAGGACACTTGAAGACATGGCCCGCAACCGGAATCAATGGAAGAATTGTGTACAGTGTTGTGTTGATTCACATGTTTAATTCTACAAACATTGAAAATGACAAAAAAGAGAAAAATCGACGTGTGACAAACAAACTAAAAATGTTTTGTTCTGTATTTTTGTCCAAATATTCTATTTTCTTGCGGCATATTAGCTGAAGTGTGTTGCCCACCTTCAGCTAGCATGCCACGACGATTATGACGTAATGACTGTCTCTTATACACTGATTTCCATGGCTTTCTTGGCTCTATGTCTAGTTATTAGACTGTTGAGATTACATTACACCTCCCTCTCATCGCCGTCATTCTTAAATTCCGTCGTGACTTCTGTGTCCAAAAATTAAAGGCAAATGGTAAGAATTCGTGGGTGAAATTTGATTTTATTTGTGTATGGAACGAAAATCAAACTTAGATGCAACCAACCATTTATTGTGAATGAACAGCACTCCTTTGCATTCACCGAGACTGATTCACAGATTTTGCTAATAGCTTTGATCTCACTCGTGCGAGTAAGTCCGCTTTCCTCTCAGTTGTGTAAGTTTATTTTTTGTGTGGGGCTCGCAAAGATGGGATATTTTCCAAAATCATGTTGAGCTACCTTGGTCATCCAACGCTTATTGAATGATAATTCATTAGCGAAAATCACGTCTGATGACGTCATAGACGCAAGGCTCATTCGACTATTAGATAAACATTATTACTTCTCTCATCTCGGATATTGTTCCTCTAACATTGTTGTAAATGCCGGCAGTTTTTGATTTGCAGCTTATTTAATACATTGATGGATGACTTTCATGACGCATTGGTAGACATTTTGCAATAAATTTTTACCAGCGAATTTTCGTTGGTGTGTTCAGCATGAAATCACAACCGGTGA